AATTATTCTTTGTTAAAGTTTTTAAAAATAATATTTATAGTTATCTACTCTATATAAATAAAACGAATATTGTTTACATAGAAATTTATTGTAAACTGCAAAGCAGATAGAAGAAATGTCAAGGTTGAGCCACCGAAAATGGTCATTATTCTAATTGTAATTCAGATGAAAAAATACATCGGTGCTAAGTGTTTATTTTAATCAATTAGCATTACTCTCTTTTGATTAACATGTAGCAATGTTTTTTAAAAAGGTTAATTAAAGATCTAAACTAAAACACTTATTAAAATTAAATATTTTAATTCCCCGAAGGTGACGTCAAAAATAATAATTTTAGTTATGATAAATTTTTTAGTTTCAGCCACGTGCCACTCGAGTCGTCGAGACGGCACGTGGCTCACTTTATTTAATCAATAACTTTCTTTACGTCATATGTTATTAAAATTTTATGTTGTTTATATAGTCGTACTACAACTTTTTTGAGGTCGTATGAATAATTATTAAACATTGATATGAGGATTTTTTCCTTGTAATCTCATTATATGTATATATATTTTTTCTAAAATCTATTTTAAAAAGATGTAATTCAAAAACAAAATACTCTAAAATAAAGAAGTCTTTCAAATATCTAAAAGTTTAATTATTAAATTAATTTAATCAATTCTAGTTGGAAAAAGACTTTGCTATTAGAAATTGAGCTATGGTTGTTTGTTTATATCTACATAAAGACCTTGGGGAATGTTTACTGTATTATTTTCAATAGACTTTGTTATATTAAGGGGAATTTCTGACTTAAATTTACTTTAAAGGTGTTTTAAATATGGTTATTTATTATTGTTATTATCATTCTCGGTTCTTTCGATATATTACTAAAGGTATCTGTAAAGTTGAAACCTCCCTGTGGATTTTTACTTTAAAAAAATAAGCGTGGACATGTGAAGTTTGAGGGATGATCTAATCTATCAGATAGCAAAGAGGCTATTTATAGCTAGCTATATTAACCTTAAATTCTTTTCATTATACATGACTCCTTTAATGATTCTAATTAAGGCTCAACCAAATTTGGTGTGTATACCAACTTGAATATTGGTTTCGGTTTTCGGGAAAAAATTTATTTTGAAATTCGTCTGTTAGGACAAGGTTTGCCGCTGCTATTTTCATAATAATCCTGTTACATATGTCTTATAGTAAATTTTGGTTACAAAAGAAGTTGCAAATTGTTTTCCATGATTCTTGGACACGTGCTCACTTTGTCTGATCATATATTGTGTGTTAAACTCTTACTCATTCATTCCAGATTCCACATATATACAGGGAGCCCTCGACTTTTGCACAATTTGCTATTTCGCACATTTTTAAAAATTCAACTTTTTAAATATTTGTCGATAATGAAAAAATTTCGTTCCTTGCAGAATGCTCATACACTGCAAAGTGCGGTAGCTTGCTCTATGTTCTCTACCACAGATTACTTTCTACAATAGTGGACTTCTTGAAATCCTAATCACTACTGTGTTCTTCTGAGCAAGAGGTCAAAACAGTCTCAGTCTTGCATTAGGGCATGCGTCAACATGTGTGTTTTGCCAATTTATTTGTTTATGTTTAGATATTTCATCCTTATAAATTGATAAACATGAGTGAGAAACGGAGAAACTGCAGTGTTGATACAAACAAAAAGAAATTAAGGACTCATAAACTTCATATGATCGAGACAAAAATGAAAATAATTAAACATTCTGAAAACGGTAAATCTTTTGCTTCAATCGGACGTTTGTACAATGTAAACAGATCTACGATATTTGCAATTTTAAAAAATAAGAGTAAAATTAAAGAATAAATATTTTAAACACAGTTTTTGATGCATATTTTTTTTACATCCCTCTACTTTTGAACATTCAACATTTGCACACACTTTCAGGAACCAATTATGTGCGAAAGTTGAGGGCTGTCTGGTAATTGACATGAGTCTTAAACTTTTTTACATTCATAATAGAAATAAAATGATTGCATTTTTTTGTTTTCTAGCTCCTGAAATGCATGTTAAGGGCATAGCAATGCCAAATTTTTCTCTAGTAGCAAAATTTTGAAGTAAATTTTTTCTAAAAGGTATATTCTGATGCAAGAATGCTGGAAAATGTTGTTATAACATTTAAAAAAATTTTGCGAATAGCATTAGACAATAAATTTTAAAATTTTGTAATGTTCCAAGTATCTTCAGAGGTATAAAATTTATCCTGAATGCATCACAATGTCATCATTTATTGCATGCAGTCTTAAGGTTCTGAAAATATCACAATATATTTTAACCTTTGTATCTTGAAAATGGGTCAAACAATACAGAAAAACAAAACAATAAACTCGGCTTTTCTGAGGGTCATCCTTTAGAAAAAAGGTTAACTCGGCCTTCTTTCCAAAGGATAACTGGATAATCTGTAAGAATAAAATTGATATCAGTGTGGAGTTAGTTGCATTAATCATTTCTCCAATTGGGTTGCAAATAGGAAAGGCCATGGTCTAGTACATTTTGATGGGAGCTGAAACCTCGTGCCAAAGCATACAATTCTGAGGAAGGCCTTGCTTTAGTGGCTTCTTTAGGGCATGCTTTAAGGGATTTCTTTACCTTTTATCCTTTTATCTTCTTGAGTGACTATCTCTTGTTTTTTGGATATGCACATTTATATAATTACCTATTTTCCTCTCGTCTCTTCTGAGACATTGCCATTATTCTCAGTGACTAATCTCAAATACTATGATCTATACAAATATAGAGAAATTCTGAGAATAATTATTTACATTTTCCAGAATTCAGCTACAGTTTAAAATAAAATTTTAATTAAAAAAATAATAATATAATTACACAATATTTTTACTATATACTTGAAAATCTTGCTTAAATTCAATCCACTTTATTTATCATAATATGCAATTATTTGCACATTTGTAAATGCCAGTGAGGCAATTAGAAGTTAGGAATATAGTTGAATTATTATTGGATAATTCAAAAGAATAGTATAATATATATGTAAAAATAGTATTATTTGTTCTCATCATGACGAATCAGTTTTATTCATATATTTTTACATCTAATCCTATGATTTACTTGGTAGATTGATTTTGTACAAGTTTTGCATAAACCGAGACTAGTGCTTATACGGAGTATAAAGGGTTGGGTTTTAAGATTCTATATTTTTTGCATATACATTAATAAAGGGTGGATTTATATGCATTTAAAATCACAATATATGTTCATACATGTGCACATAAAAATACCATATATTTTAATATGCATTATAAACACTAAAATTTGTAGTTTAAAATGCAAATTGTAGTGTTTAAAGCAAATGTTAATAATGTATGTTGCGTCACACATTTTAGGTAGGTGAGGATAAATGTGCAACAGTGGGTGACATGATGATTTTGCAAATTATGGCTTCACAACATATATATTAGAATAATGTTTCGTGTAGGCAGTGCACAGTGAAGTCAACTACAAATCAAATTGCACGTTCTATAACATTTTGTATTTATTTCCATATATACAATTGTTTACAAGGTGTTCGAGGATGTTCATTAATGGGCTATTTTATTATTTTAATTAAATGTTTTCACAAAATTTATTGGTTTTACTTTCCTGGCTGTTATGTATACATAACACGAGGAAGTATTGTAGTCATGTCAAATGTTGAGACTCCTGAACCCAAAATAGAATGAAAAAAAGTGGGGTTAAAAATCTTGTGGATATGTGCTTGCGTTGGCGTCTGTTTCATTTAATATCTAAGAATGGGATAAAGATTAAGAAATTAAATTTGGCATAGTAACTTGTATATAAAGAGCATTGATGCAATTAAATTTCAATGGTTCAAGTTCAAGGAATTGGGGAGATAGAGGGGAGGTCATGCGCCATATCTCAGTGGAGTTGGACATAAAGAAAATTTTCATCTTCTGTGTTTAGGATATTTTTAAAAACTCATCTTTATCCTCAAAATTAAACATTTGGCCTTTTTGTTATAATTAATAATATAAATGTTATTTTTTTAAATAAAATCTCATAACAGATGGATCCACACACAATTTTAAACTTAGTTGCTGTGTTTCTTAAACAAATAGTTTTTGTCAGGAAAGTTATGCAACTAGATGCTGATTTTTTAATAAATTTGTCAATTTATTAAAACTGTATAAATGTATAGTTTTGTGTAGTTTTATATAAAAAACTGTTAAATGAATATAGCAACCAACTCCTTGCTAATGCCAATTCTGTGCTCTTCAGAGATCGCTTCCAGATAACGTCAGAATGGAGGCCAAACAGACCTCGAACACACCTGTAAGAACTGTAACATGTTTCGTCACCACCAAGCTTGTCCATCCCTAAATGCTGAGAGCATCTAATGATTTAAAGTGAAAAATCAATTACATGTGATGTAAGATTGTAGTAATGAGCACTGAAATGTCAATGTAGCAAAATTGTGGGATGCTGAAATGTATTATGGTGAATTTCATTATATTGAAATATACTATCACTTTATTAAAGCAAATTTCACACTAAAAAATTTTTGTAAAGAATAACAGTGAATCAACAATTTTTATGAATCAAGTTTTTATATTTCCACCTTAATGAGCATTTAGAAGATTTTTTATTTTAATCATGGGTACCTACTCAGTAACCTGACTAGCTGAGCTCACAGCCAGGTTACTGAGATGCAGGATCTGACATATTGGGTTTGGACAGTCGTGAAAGTTCCAAGCCGATTTACACTCAGACCCTGCTGCTTGTTGTGCCAGTCTATTGTATTGGCTCTTCCGGTAACTGAAGCAGGAGAAGTTTGATGGTGTCGATCAGGTGCTGCAAACACAGTTTAGCAAACTTATCAATGATAGGATCTGAAAATGAAACACTTCATCTTCAGAAATGTTTCTTGTTTATTGTATTATAATAATAATAATAATATTGAAGTAACTTACATATCTAAATTCTAATACAATTTGTTTTTATTTTTGAATAAAAGAAGAGTTATTGCTGTTAAAAGGAAGATTACAACCCGAGAAATCTGAAGAAACGGCCGAAGAAGTAAGATACTTAAATTGTTTCTATTGATTTAGATTTAAGATTAAAAGTAATAATAATAATGTAAAGTAAAATATATCAAATTTATAACTTTACTTTTAGAGGAATCAGAAATTACACGGTCCCATGAATGCAGAAATTCAGTTTGCAACTGCAAATATTTCTCAAAAGAACATGTTTAGAGTAGTCGAAGATAATCCTGTTGTCGTCGGGGTAAGCAAGAGATAATAAATACTGTTTATTATATTAAAAATTAAGTAATTAGAGTAATTTTTAATGGTTTATTCTTGGTATAAGATTGTGACATTATGCATCAATAGGTATTCTTACAAGTGAACAATATATAAAATAAAATGAGCTTTACATAATTCCATTAATAATTTAATTAAAGTATTTTTTTTTTATATTGTCTTGCCACTTTGTTGAGGTGATTGAATGAACTGCATTACTTTAGGGACTGTAGTACAAAAACTATATTTTCAAATATAAATATGAATAATTTGGTATAGTTAAATAATAGTATTATATGAAAATGTAATGAAAAAATTAACTATAAAATAAAATTTAATACTGATTTATTGAATATTTTTAGTTCCATTCTGAATTGAGGAAAATATTAGTATCACTTGTTCAAGCTTCTGAAAAGTTACTAAGATATCATCCAGAAGTTATTGATATATTTAAAGAGACATCAGGTTAGTTTATCAAGAACTCTCTTGTAAAAAGTTTGCATTACATTGAATTGTTAAGTTATTATGTTTAATCTAGGTTTACATAGTCATGGAAATAAATAAATGAATAATAATCAATGTGAAATGTTATTCGCTTCATACTACATGAACACAAACTGAGTTAGAATGTGATTAGTTGATAAGACTTTTTACACAATTTGTGAAAAGTTGGTTGATTAAATAAACAGAAATTTAACAAAAATTGAGGTATTTTCAACTCTTAATAAACACTGGTTTGAACAGTTGCAGAAAGGGGACAAACTGTTAGTCTTGATCTACTTTGTAGCAGCTTGTATGCCAAGTGCCAAGTGTAAACCTAACTTTAGTCTAAATTGCTTTTGAATGTACACATTTCTACAGTTTATAACTTATACTTTATAACTAACCCCAAATTTAAACAGATTTATAAAGTATGATTCGATATATACTGTTTCTTTCTCATTGAAAACAATGATTTCAATTTTGAATTATATTTTTAGTTATGACACTAGAATTTCAGGATGTCCACAAATGAATTATATAATTTTGTGTTGATTTTACAAAAAAAACTATGATAATGACTTATTTTTATTGGTGATATATATGGTAACTCAAAGTTTGTCATCTTCAGATTAACACTTCCTGCGGTGTTAGATTGGATGCAGGGGTACAAAAGACTGGCCACACCTGTCTCCTGATATTATCATTGCAGTTTTTTTGGAGGCTTCATTAAGGCATTGTTTGCAAGACATAGGTGACATCTGTTGTTGAACTTAAACAAAACATTACAATTGATCCCCCTATAAGACAATAGATACGTTCCGTTCTTTATGAATCAATTTTGTAGGAATCACAGCCAATCACAGCCCGACACGTGTGAAGTTTACGGACTATGGCTGTTTGAAAGGTTTTCTTCCATAAAATTAATCGATTCTAGACTAATCCGACTCAACATTTCCAAAATACGTGTATTTTTTTTGGAAATAATCCATATAAATTACACTATAAACAAAAAATTGTAGGATTACTTACTGAGTGTGTACCATTTGACATCGCTGTTGCTCAAGCTTGTGTTCATCGCGGAACAGCTCAGCAAACCACGGCTGCAATTTCTGATGTTATTTTTCTGCGAAAACTTCGCTGAACTTTGGAGACATCATTAATATAAATAATTTTAATCGCCGTTGAATAAGAAATGTTTCTTTCACAAGAAATGTATAAAATTACAGTACTGTATTAGACTTACGGTACCTAATTTACATACTGTACAGACGATAGTTTGCCTAAACTCTCCGTAGCGTGGCGCTAGACGGCGGAAAGCATATATATAATTATAATAAAGTTACAATAAATTAAATTAATATATAATTATATGTACAGTACCCAATTTATATATAATTATATGTACAGACGAAACTAAACTCAATTTACCCGCCTAAACTGTCCATAGCGTGGCGCTGGACGGCGGGAAAGTAGTTCGGCTGCCTGATGACGTTTTATGTAATTATAGTTTTTTTATCGTTGTGTACGGATACCACCACAATTTTTTCGCCGTCTTATAGGAATCGTAATTATAGGAACCTGTCTTATAGGAGGATCTACTGTACTATCAACCTTTGTCTAAATAACACTGGATTATCTGCACTGTAAATAGTAGAACCAGATTATTGTTTTGGCTTCCTCTGAATGACCAAGGAAATGAACATTGAGATTTGTAGACATCTGTATTTTTTATATACATAAATATATTGAGTATTCTTTGTAGTTTATTTTTGCCATATTTAGCTTTTATTATGTCAAAAGGAAGCATATCAAAAGCACTTAAAATACAATCATTATTTTAAATGAAAGCCAACATATTTTTGACTTCATAAAATATGCAAATAAAAATTATATCCTGCTGTTAGTTTCATTGCTTATGCAACCAGTTTAAAAGCAACTCTTACATAAACTGTTCAGTCTTGTTTAAATGAAATTCAATTGATAGATAGAAAGATAAGTTATAATAATTTTATTTCTAAAGAAAATATATTAATAATAATCCTATTTAATTTATATATAAAGTCCTACAATTTATTATACATCATCTAATCACTTCTAACATTTAATATATTATAGTTGAATCAGAAAGTAGTATACCTGATACAACCATAAATGCAGATGCTTTGAAACAGTTAACTGATATGGGTTTTCCTAAATCAAAAGCACTTACTGCTTTAAGAATAAATAAGTAAGTATTTATTTAAAATATTTATAACTTAAATTACATTCTAAGTAATAAAATTTAAATGTAGAAAGTACAGAATGCATTTAATGTCTAGTTTAAAATCAAACTCACTTTCTCTTTCAGTATTTTCAAAATCTTCACAAGTCTTTCTTTTTTCCATTCCTTTTTCTTTTATGGATGAAAAAGAATTATATTGTTTTGTATGTATAAATATGAGAAAAAAATCGTCATTGTTGTGTTGATGACATTAATATTATGATAGAGATTCAACTTAAAAAACAATATAAATTTAAGTTTTAAAAGATAAAGGTAGTTAATTAAACAAAAACATAAAACTTATTTAATAAAGCATTTTATAATTCTGCATTAATAGCATAGCATTTTACAATTCTGTTTAATTAATTAATTAATTTATTTATTTATCTAACATTTTAAATTTTTTTAAGTTGAATCTTTAAATAATGTCATATCAATTATTTTCACATTTATGCTACCTTACAAATAGAATATTCTATGAATTCGTAATGGTGGGCAGTGAAGCTGAAAAGGCCTTAACATTTTTCTCCCATGTCTTTTTTTTATAAATAATAATTTCTTACTAATGTTTCTATGGAATTATTAACATTAAATATACTTGTTTGGGTGTAACACAATGGAGTTCTATAATAGAGTTACATACAAATTGCTTGTAAATAATTGCTGAATTATTTTCACAATGTGAAAATAATTCAGCAATTATAAATGATCGGACATCAATTTTAAAAAATTGTAGACCTATAAATTTCCAGTTTCGTTCATCTGTTTGTCTGTCCTTTGTTAATCTTGAGAATGGAGTTAGATAGATGAAAGCTGAGACCAGATATGAAAAGATCAGGCAGGAGGCCTCAATTAACTCCTATGAACTTCTGATGCAAACTGGAAGTCACAATATTTTAATTCAAAAATTTTCTCCTGAAAGGAGTTAGATATATGATGGCTTGACTATTAATAACTGGAAAAGTAGGATGTACAGGAGCAAGCCACTACTAATTTGAAGTGGAGATCACATATTTTACTTTAATATGTTTCTTGTCAAGTTTAAAATGTGTCGGTTAGCTCTATGATGGCTTCTTTATTTCTAGACTTATCACACTGTCAACAGACACAAGACTAACCTCAATACATCAGTTTATTTTCAATAGCATGATTTTGCATTTCAGACTAACAGTTCCTCCTAAGCTTTTTTACAACTATTTAAAGATAAAAACAAGTAGGTTAAACTTCCATTTACACTGCATAACTTTCATTTTTGCAAAATTGACATATTTACAACTCCAAATCATGCAAAGGAGTTTTGACATTTGGCAATAATCATTTACAATTCTATTGATTAAGTACTTTTAAATTAAATAAATTAAAAAAAAATACAATTGTTGCAATGCCGTGCTGCAATTTTTAATGTCACAATAAATAATTGCTTATGCATTAATATTTTATGTATAATTTGCAATACTATTTCACTTTAAAATCTGAATCAGACTTTATAAGATGTAGGAAAGTATAAATGAATGAATAAAAATTTTATTTTTTTATATGTGGAATTTTGTTATTTAATATACAGTATACAGTAAGTTTGTTGACTAATGTATGTTAAATAACAAAATTTCAACATGTTATTTTTTATGAAATATATAATTTTTGTTAATTATTTGTGAAGAAAAAATCTTAGCCATGTACTGTATGACACTTCATTTAATTTTTTTACATATGGAAATATATTATTTTAAATTAATACAAGTAACTATACTCTTGTGAAATTGGCATTAAAAATAAATAGAAATGTTCAATTATTTATGGTGATATCATCACAGTGCAATTTTTAATCATATTTTAATTTTAAAAATCAGATTGGACGTTTGTATATAGTTAATCAGTAATTCCAGCCCTAAGCTTTCCATATCTGGTCTAGATTTTCATCTATCTAACTCCATTCTTGACAGACAGACGGTAATGGGAATGTGTAGGTCTGCAATTTCAAAATAGCAGCCCAATAACTGAAGTAAATACAATTATTTCCTGAATTTTTCTTATAATGCCTGAAAAAATAAAATTTACTCTAAGTTGTAAAATATGTTGCAAATTCTAATATTTCCGAATTTGAATTTGAGACAATGCTCTCAGCACAGAAATATCATAAATTAAGCCTGTTACACAAAAGCTTAATCATTTAGCATTTATAGCTTATTGCTTTTTCAGAAGTTATAAATGATCATGAAATAAATTCCCAAATTTCTTGCATCTCCTGAAACTATTGAATAAAATAAGATAGGTTAAATTAGCTGTATTAGTATGGACTGTTTTAGCTTATTTATTTTAATATTATAAGCTTTATCTTAGTGATTTTGTTTAATTGATTTATAAAAGTTATAAATTAATAAAATCAAAATTATTGTTTTTAACATTATAGAATGTCTCCGACAGAAGCCACCGAGTGGCTGCTTGCTCATGAAGATGAATCCCCTTCTGTTGCTTCAGCAGAATCAACCTCTCAGGTCTGTGAAGCAAAATCAGAAGATACGACACAAAGTTTAGGTAAAAATTTTGGGATAAAATGTCTTTAATACCTAGAAGCTCTCAAATAAATTGATATTTATACAGGTTGTGCCACCAACATCCATAAGAGAGCAATCTGGAGGTTCATGCTGTATGTGAGAAGGGTCTTGGTTCAGTTGCATAAATAGGGGAAACATTTTGGTTAATTCGTTATTGCCAGAATTTAATGTTGATAATTGAGAAACTGAAACCAAGTCAAAGAGTAATTAAAGGGTAATACAAAGGACAAGAATTTAATAAGTAGATTATAGATAATAGGTTTAAATTTTGTCATATGTTTAAATTAAATTAATGGTTATTCTCAGCAAGACAGTAGTAAAGCCCAAGAATAGGTTTACTCTATACTTTATTCCTGTCATTTGTATTACTATTTAATTTGGTTTCACATTCTCAATCTTCAACACTAAGATCTTGCATTAACAAATTAACCAAAACATTTCTTCTATTCATGCAACAAAACGCAGACTCTGCTTACATACAGAATGAACTTTCCATGATTGCTTATGTATGGACAGTTATCTATGGTACACTCTGAATATTGTAGAAACTAACAATTACTTGAATTTGGTATAATTTAATGTGTGATATTTCTAGGGGTTTTTTGATTCAAACCCCACTTCTGTGACACCAATATGTGAGCCACCGGGAAGGAGGAGGAGTCCTCTCTTTCCGGCCACAGGTCTCGGACCTACTTTCTTGTCAAGGATGGTAGTAACGTTCGGTTACGCGTTACGCGAGTGGAGGAGAGTTACGGGGCCGACGATAAGGCGTTGGCATAGTCGAATAAAAACACCATTTTTCTAAACTAACAATTTATTACAGACAAATAATAAAACAAACGTTCTAACACAAGAAGTCCCATTTGCGTGTGAGAGAGAGAGCTTACAATAAAGCGTTCATACCTCTTGCGATGATATCGAGGGTCTTTAATTTCTGAAAGGCGGAATCCAAGTTGAGGGTTGGGATCGGTCTTCTAATTTTTGGTGCGGCCGTTTAGAGGGAAGCGAATGTCCGTCTTGACGGTGCTATGGCGACTTCTTGATTAGCGACTCCCCTAAGAGGGGGAAGGAGGATGGCTTTTATACCTTTTTGGTGGGAAAATTCGTCAGGTGATCAATTGTTTTAGCAGGTGTGAGGTTAAAGGTGGTGTTAGAATGACAACAATATGACGAATTTCGCCGATAACTGTAAACTATATACGGTTTGATCGTGAGAATGTTTATATTAAAACAAAAAGAGTTATAATTCTCGCATATACTTTAGCTTTCGTTTTTGTAGGGTCAAATTCTTTTGGTTGAGGGCATTTTTATTTTAAATTTATTAAACTTTTAAAGTATTAAATGCTTTCATTAACTTCGAATTTCACAAATGTTATCTAATTTATTTCTTTTCATATAAAGAGAGTACTGCATCTTGTTCTGAAGGTAATCCAAACTCCTATGCTCCTCGTAAAGTAGCTACAATATTGAAATGTTTTAGACAGTATAAAAGAAAAGAGTTTCGGCCAAATTTAAAGGTGTGTGATTTTATTATTTTTTCATATTACTTGTTTTTAAAGCAATAAGATAATCAAATTTCTCTATGAAATGCATTACAAGTTTTTAAGTTTAAAACTGTTTCATTGTATATAAATATATAAAACTGTTTCATCTGTTTCATGAGAAATACAACTGAGTATTCATATGAATGATTTCAATGCATCAAGCCATGTGACTTTCACACGAATCATATTGCTGATATCCACTACACTTTATTCATTGTCCATGTGGTAGGGAGAAAGAAGAATAAAGCCTGGTACTCACATGCAGAAATAGACGACTGAAACAGTTGCCATTCTGTTGTCTTTTTGTGTCATATGTACTTACATGCAGAAAGTACCCTACAATTTAAATGTGCGCTATTTGCCAACCGTAAATATAAACAGCTACCAAGAGTAGTCGAAAATGGCGCTTATAAGGACTGTTTTGTTATATCAATTAAACTTTTTAAGTTTACTTACAATCATATCTAAATAAAAAAGCCACAAAAGATATTTTGAAATTGTTCTAAGTTAGGAATATCAAATACTATGGTACCCGAACTACAATTACACGATCCTGAATACTTCATACAGTAAGTACAGTATATCTATTTGACATTAATATTTAATGTGGATAGTAATATAGCAAATAAATGAAATATATTCTATCTAAATGTAGATTTCTCTAAAAGCCAACCAAGACATTGGCAAAGTTATTGCAATAAATTGAGCCTGATACAGAATACTTGATGGCATGATGCTATATCAGTTCACAATCAACTTTGTTTAATATTATGGAAAAATTAATGATTTCAGACTACAAGTAGTAACCATTCCTGTTATAATCATCTCGATGTTGTCACCTTCATATTTTAAAGCTGGATTTAGTTTTGGAAGCATATTTAAAAACATCTTTTTATGGAGAAAATGCATTATTATTGACATTTACAAAATGTATAGCCTATTAGAACTTTTTATATATTCTAATATTTTGTATTAAAAAAATCAAAATATGAATTATAATTTATTTAAAGAAGGAAATGGATATAATAATAAAGTTAACTTATTAGCTATAATACAGAACCAAACATTTATAATCTGTTTATAACAATAAAAACAGTTGGCCAGTACTATAACGAAACAATTATTGTTAGTTTGTGTGATTCTCATTTAAATTTTATCATGTACAGCAATATAAACGGTTATTTATTTCTAAATACAACAAGTTAATTGAATGTGACAAAATGGAGATGATAAAATGATGCATTTAGTGTATACATTTCATCATATTTAAACTTCACTTAAAATTCTAGGTTTCTTGCTACTGGAGAAAGTTTTCAAAGTCTGAGTTATACTTTTCAAGTGGGATGAACAACAGTAATTTCAATAGTGAGGGAAACCTTTTTTGCCATCTGGAAAAAACTAAAAGGAACATGCATGAAAGTACCTTAGATGGAAGAGGAATGGCAAAACATTACTAATGGATTTTTGAAACGTTGACAACTGCCCAATTTCTGTGGCAGTATTGATGGCAAGAATGTTGTCTTGCAGTGTCCTGCAAATACTAGATCTCTAAATTATAATTATAAAGGGAGATTCAGTAAAATATTAATGGCTGTAGCAGATGCCCATTACAAATTCATTTATGTTGATTTTGGACATTATAGAAGTGAGAGTGATGGAGGAGTTTTTCAGAAGTGTACATTTGGCAAAAAAAATAATAAATCAGACAATTAATCTTTCCAAAGATGCTAATTTGCCAAACTCTGACATAACTTTTCCCTATTACTTTGTGGCTGATGAAGTATTCCCCTTACAAAGAAATATAATGAGACTGTACCCTCGTAAATCTCATTTCCATCATGCAGAGCATATTTTTAACTATCATGTGAGTCCAGTTCAACGTGTTGTTGAAAATGCATTTGGTATTTTAGCATCACATTTTAGAATAGTTTTGTGGTCTCTGAATTTTGATGAAAATGTAACCTTGTAAAAGATTGTTGCTGCTTCCCATGTATTACATAATTTTTTATTAACTGAAAGCAGCACTACATACTGTCCAATGGGTTTTGTCAATACAAGATCCGGCTTATTTAGTCAATTCAGGACAATGGTGTGATGAGCAGAAACGTGTACATGAATGTGATAGCCAAAGATCGAACATATACAGCAGTGATGCAAGTGTTATGTGACAAACTTGCCCAATATTTATGTACTGAAGGTACTGTTGAATAGCAAGATATATATTGAGACCTTCATTAAATTTTTATAATGTAAAAATATCCCCTGTTCTACATTAATTGCTCAATATTACCTTATATAAATTGTAAACCTTAACCCTGAATACTGTGTATATATATATATATATATTCCACGCCATTTAGTTTATATGGATTTCTGTGCTATTATTGGATCATGTAACCGTATTTTGTTTTATTTAGTATGTTGAGACATTGCAAGCGCCCATGGAACACATGGTCACTTCCTTCCTCTCTTTTATCTATCTAACTTCCTCTTGCTGCTTATCACCTTACCTTCGAACCTTCTTTTCGTTTCCTATCTAAACGAGCTTAGTCAATTAGCTAAACGACTGACAGCTCTCTCACCCTCTTTTACAAATGTAAAAATATCTTTAAAAAATTATTTTGTATATATAAAAGTAATGATTTAGAAATATAATTTATTTTAAAAGTATATGATAAATGATGTACTTATTATGTTGTTCATATATTTCTTGTTTTAAACATGATTCAGTGTTTTTCAATACTTCATGTCTATCTTTGACAATTCCTGTAATCTTATATGAAGGTTATCACAAAATCTGTATCTTTTTCATAGGAACTTTTATCGGTTCCTTTGATATATTGCCAAATTTTTCTGTATAGTTGACATTAATTAATGTGGTCTAGTGTCCAATAATAATATTGAAATCATATCAAATTAGAAAATTAATAAAACCAATAATTTAGTTATTCTAATTTACAAACTTACTAAATATCAGGCAGACAAAAAAATATATATATACAGTAGAGCGTCGATTTTCCGAATCAATTGGGGACTGGGGTTGTCCGGATAACTGATATTTTGGATAACTGATTTACGTACGATAAAATAGTTTAATGTATTCGATGTCAAAATTTTTCTCCATTGCGTGTCGCTTCGCGTTGAATTTTCGTCGATGTTAAGTCTAGCAAAGACTATTGTATCGTTAAAAATTATTTTTTTATTTTGTACAAACAAAATAAATATATTGAAAAATATAAAAACAATAAAAAATTATACTTCAGATGTTAATTTAGTATCAAAAACGTAAAATGTTTGAGTAGCCCAAGACATAGCCAAAGATTGAAGCGCCACATCACTGGCGAAAATTTAAATTTGCCAACTGGAATTCTTTCGGATGATTGACTTTCGGAAAATCGACGCTCTACTGTATTTATTGTTTGGTCATTACAATGTAGTCATCCAGCAGGGAGCTATTCAATGATTACCAAAATCTAAATAGATTTAGATCATGTCCATTTTATAAGAATATCTAACTTTTTTAAGAAAAAAGGACTGATTTGTTACCACCAGATTTGTTTAAAATGTTATATCAAAAAATGCTAACTAATTCTAGTGAGCATAATTGGGTTGGCCAAGTTTCTTATATTTTGGATATGGATTTTCTACAGAGTTGTTTGAGTTTGATGAAAATATGAGCTCCCAATTAATCCAGACCTCATGGATTTCAACATTATATAGCCATTTGGTTGCTGTAATTGAGTGATTTATGGCAACTTTAGGAATGCTTTCTTTTTAGTATAATTTTCCTTTGAATTATCCTTTTAGTATAATTATCCTTTAGTATAATTATCCTTAGTATAATTATCCTTTTGATCAGTGTTTTTCATGATCATTCTATGATTGTTTTAGTTATAATTATACTTTTGGTTATTTAATTTGTTTCAGGAAGTTTAAATAATACTTTTTTAAATTGTATGAGGGTGAATCAAAAAGTAAGTTGCATACCAAGTTGCAGTTTGTACCAAAAATAAATGTGAAACGTACAAGTCAAAAATTTTTATTTGTGTGCATGTACTGTACAATCTAAGCACTGCTTTTCAACATAATCACCAAGGACAATAGGGTATTACAGTGATATTGAAGTTGTGTATTATATTTTAGATTATCTGCAGGTCATTAACTATTTATTTCTTAATTTACCATTTAAAGTTAACTGTATGAAATTTTTTAAAGATTAAATAGGGATTTTATTGTAATAAGACTATGATCTATCTAATAGTAATTTTAAGACATTTTGTATAATATTCAAAACTTTGCAAATAGTCTTATTTTTCTCTCTAGTAATGTATGAGAGATTTTTGTACTAACACTGCTAAAACTATTAAGTGTCACAAATTTTATTTCTCCCATGTAATATGATATTAATCCTTATACAATAAAGTTTATTGACTGATTATTATTATTTTTGCTAGTATTAAGTTTTAAATAGGAAAATTTAAAAGACATTTGTAATATATTGTATAATATTTAAATTTATATTCCATACTTTATAATTTCACAAAAAGTTCTTTTATCTGAGATAATTTTTCCTCATTTTTCTCATCACATCTGGATTCTTCCTCCTTNTGCAATTAAGTTTTAAATAGGAAAATTTAAAAGACATTTGTAATATATTGTATAATATTTAAATTTATATTCCATACTTTATAATTTCACAAAAAGTTCTTTTATCTGAGATAATTTTTCCTCATTTTTCTCATCACATCTGGATTCTTCCTCCTTGTTATTACATTTATACAAATGAAGTAGACAAGATACAAATATTTACTATAATATTGAAAATTTCCTGAATATATTCTGAAGGTGCTGTGGGGTGGCAAAATAGTTGTTTATATCAAGGGTTATATTCTAAATAGCCTGTTAAGGAAATTTATAGTGTAAAAATGAAAAGTAACAACTTTTTGTATATATAAATTTTTTTATTCTTTCAAATATTTCTCTTTTTCTTCTAATTCAAGCATCATTTACTCAATATTTTTCATGACATGATGCCTGTCTTTTTTTGCTAAGATCTTGTAGTCTTTTACAGGAGTAGTCAATTCTATCTTTTTCTCCTGTTTTGTTTAGAAGTTTGGATGCTTCAGTAAAAGTTTTTAGTGCAACATCCAACATGTCCTCACTTTCTTTGTATGTTTTTTTGTTTTTCTTACAGGTGCTTTCAGGCTGGACCAAACTAATGTTAAATCACTACTCACTGCTAATTCCGAACTGCTGACCAATTGCAGTCTATATTGTTTTCTTCAGTGTAGTATCTTTAAAGTCTGTACATTTTTTATCATACAGACACGGATGTCTTTGTACAGTTTCTATAAAGTACTCGTTATCGAACATAGCACACTATCTGCTTATACTGACCCCCATAGTTTGAATTCCCATGTGATCTTTATGACGACATTGCTAAACGGCCTTCCTATTGGTCTAATTTTTACCATTTTGCTTTCCACAAAAGCAAAATAAAATTTTCAACTTCATATTTGACGGCAAAAGTGACGTCATTTTTCCATTCTGTCATTCATTTCCGCATGTGAGTACCAGGCTTAAATTAAAGATGGATGATGATGACAATCCTCTTAGCATCCTATTTCTATTTGTGAAAAATTGAACATCTAAATTGTACTTGACCACAAAATTTAGACCTTCAGTTTTTAGGTCATGCATGTGCAGTACCAAAAGCATTTAAACTGCTTAGTGAAATTACTCATGGATATTCAGCTTAAGAGTTCCTCTTTAATTAATCTCTATATGAGGGCTCATCCAGACCTTTAGTGAAGAATGGAACCTGACATGTCTGCATTTAATAAATGATGGAACTTTCTACAGTTTAAATCTGAACTAAAGTCTGGGTCTTCCAGAGTAGCAGGATGATGCTATAATTGCTTTGGCCAACCATAATCTGTTTTATTGTATTTTTCTTCTTCTCATATCCAATTGTATTGTTACCTACTAGTTAATGTAATGTATATATATTATTTTTTTTTTATTCATTTATAATTTAGTTTTTATATTTTACAGGCATTCAATAATCTTAAAGAAATGGGCTTTTCGGAAGAAGAAATATTAGACGCTCTCAGAATACACAGTAATAATCAAGAAGCTGCGGTAAAATATTTCTTATATGGCAATTCTATGAGTTAAATTTATTTAATTCCAATTAAATTCAAAGGTTATTGTTTTAGTTATAGTTAAATTAATCCAAAAGTAGAAATAATATTAATTAAAGGACACTATTTAAACATGAAATCACAATAGGGATATTCATAATGGGAGCTTTTCGTGCTTTTAAAAAATCTGAGAATTGGGGGATCTAAAACTTTTTGGTACTGTTAACTATAAACATTCAATTATCATTTTATCTTCATTGGGCATTTTATTGATTGACATTATCTTCTGTTGGTGAATTTTGATAATTGGCAAATGTTGCTTTTGCCATAGAACCCATAGTAATGAAGTGGAGCTCCAAGAGAAGCAATACTTTTGTGATTTATGACTTTTAAATGAGCTCAAAAGCCAGTGTATTGAGAAAGACTGCAGTCTGTGAATATTCGTAATGTGGTTATTTAATTAATGCATGATTTGTGTATTCCTAGTTATATTCCTAAAACACGTACATAAGATTTGTGCATAATAGGGAAAATATTTACCACAAATACAGAGCAATTGCCAGTATAACAATTTTTCAGCTTGTAAATTAAAATTAGGAGAATTTTTCTTTATAATCATATGAAAATAAAATCAAATGAAATTTTCTGTAATGTGTGAAAATGAATTAGTTTTGTCAATTTCTTGTAAGGAAATATTTATAAAGTATAGTTATAAAAAGAAGAAATAACATGGCAACATCATTTACAACATGATTCTTTCAATATCTTGAATTAGTAATTACAGTACATTTTACAAATATTTGCCAGTCTGCCATGATATGCATTAGTGAGAATAAGTTTGTTTTAGTATGTGAGGGGGCAGATTATGTGAATTTAACTGGATTCAAAGTGCATTTCAGATAGCCAGTTTATACACTTCCGTACTTCTTCAAATACTTCAATCTCATTTGTGAAATGGAAATTTTTGGTCCAGATTTGTGAAGAGATTTGTAATTCAGTAAGCATTTCTTAGTCATACATTTTCATAAAGCAAGTTATTTTGAACTTTACATGTATTATAAAATTTATTTATCACAATTACTTTTATCTATAAAATTGCATGATTTCAAAATTATATAAATATGATCTCACAAATCATAACTATTGTATTAATATATAGAAAATTCTAACAAAATACACAAAATTTTGTAAAGTTTTACATTTTTTTGTGCTCCTTGAATATCAAATGGTGAAGAAACTGAGAGGGTTAAAATTTGACCAATACTATCCACTATACTTGCCTAAAATTGTAGTCTGGTGTGGATTTGCAGTCTCATTCATCCTTGAACTATTCTTTTCTGAAGTAGTAGTCCCTGTGAGCCTGTAACATGCTCTCTGATGATCGAAGATACCAAGAGATGCTCAAAACTTTTGTCAAACCAAACTGCATTAGTGACAATGTCTTGAGACAACCACTCTCATGCAAGATGGAGCATCTCCACATATTGGATGCTTCATACAGTGTTTTCTACCATATTTCACCAATAACAGAGTGATTAGTCACCACCTGACCATCAAGTTGTTTGATCTTAATCTACACAATTGTGTGGAACACTTAAAAAGTGTGGTCTGTTGAGGACACACTGCATATTTTGTAGTCTTGAAAGATCATATCATACTGCATGCAAAAATCATCACCAAGAATCGATTATAGTTATGCACCAAACATTGCTTTCAGAATGGGGACCACTTTGAACAGTATTTCCTGCACTGCTAAGGTCTGCATAGCATGTCTTCTACAAATGTTTGCTGCTTGCTGTGCCAAAAATGCCATGTTGGCAACTTTACATACTAATTTCTCTTATCGAAATATCTTTCTAGACAGCATTAAATAGGGTACTTTAATTACAATTACATAGTATCTAGGATGAGTTTGCAACATTTATTTAATTAATTTATATGGATCAGAAATATAAACAAATACATAAAGTAAAGTAATAAATTATTTAATACTTTAAAAGAAGAATTTGTTCTTTATATACACAATACACTATTAATTATATTTTTGTATATTTAAATGTAGTGCGAATGGTTGCTCAACGATCGTAAATCCGACAATGAAGATCTGGACATTGGGTTAGATCCCGAAGGATCGATATATAAAGCCATCATGGCTAATGCTATTGTTCAGCTGGGATTAAACAGCCTTAAAACTTTATTTGGTAATTTTATTCAATTTTTAAGACTAAACGATTTGTTGGATCTACATTGGACAAGATTATGGCTGTTTAATAATCCTGAAACCAAATTTTACCTACCTCTAATCAAATTGCTTTGTTTCGGATTATTAAATAGACTTAACCTAGCCCAATAAAAATCCAGCAGATGTGAACAATTGTTCATCATTGACAAATTCTTTTTTAAATTTATAATCAAAACACCAATAATTATCTTTCTTACATTTTAAATTTATATAAACTACAGTTCAAAGAGTATTTTTCAAATATATTTTAGAATAATAANACCTCTCGTCTTATGCGGAGGTTAATATCAACCAAATTTTCCATTATTCTTAATGAATAAAGATTATTTTCAAATTAACTTAGTTTCATAACATAAATTTAATCTTGTAAATGTTCAGATAAATGATTGGAAGAATAAATTTCAAAGTTATGAAGCTATAATTTTGTAATTTTAATTAAAGCTAATTATTATCTTAATTTTTTTAGCACTGCTGCAGATGCTGGAGAATTTCAACAGCGCGGGTCGTTGGTTGAACGATTCCGACATTGCACCACTCCTCAGTCAGATTTTTCGCATATATCACGCAGAGAAGCATTCCCTTCAGATGATGAGGCCATTTTCTCATTGACGATAAGCTTTTTATTAAGAAAAAGAAATTTCCACACGTTGCTTTTTTGCGCAAAACACACACAAAAATTTTCTGCGTGGCATAAAATTTAAATATTATTTCATCGTGTTAATTTTATTTTATGTTTTTTGTTTATAAAATTATCTTGTACATAAACTTCTGTATTATATGAGAGTGGAAGCTTCATTATTTGCAGAGAATTTAATTATTTCTGAGTTCTCAAATGCCACTCGGAAAGAGCAGTCGTTTATTTGTAAGTTATACTTTCTGTTGATGTTAAATAAAAAACAGATTCTTTAGGAATATTGGTTGTGTTGATTAGTATGATAGTGGGTACGTTCCGTTATGTATTAGACAACATGTCGGTGAACCATGATGTACTAAAATGTGTCCTGATATTCACTAATCTGCATGTAGGATCATTGCACATTGCATTCATCGGACTGTGGGTAGGGCAAACAAGGATGAAGCAACATATTTTTTATGGATGGGCCTCTGGTCTATTACCATCCAGTCAGCTCATTGTAGATCTAACAAATCCATAATAAATATGAGAAAAGGGTTCTCTCAGTGCCCACATTAAAAAAAAACCAATAAAAATAAGAATCACCTTAAAGTGTGACAAGAAGGCATTTGGGTTCGAATGGTACAGTCATTTCCTATTCGCAAGCAGCCAGAAAAATGGGTGAAGTGGCCAACTCCACACCAATGCTGACTTTATTCTGGAGAGGTCACTCTTCAGGCACCCATTGCAAAGGAGTTGAACAGATCTTACCCCTGTATAGACCATAACATGCAGAAACCAGTTGCCATAGATTTGATCACAGCTTTACTATTAGACCACTACAGACTGTATATAAATGTAATAATAAAAATTCAGCAAAGTAAAATTGTATACAAGAATAATATCAATTATTAGTAGACTTTTAGTAAAAAATAAAAATAAGCATGGTAAAATGTCATACAGAGCCAACCCCAAATTAGTTTCATTTATGGAATGTGATAGCCATAATGGTCTTTTTAAAAGCACTTTAGAAAGGCTCTCTAAGTGTGTATAAAAATATATTCATTGCAGAGTTTGCAGGCGTGCAAACTCTGCAATGATTCTTGATGAATCACACATCTCAGATGTAGTTTCAGGAAAGATTGCCTATGAAATATTTACTCAGGTTTCTCACCTAGATTTGACCCCAGATCACCACCGAATGGCAGGCTGATGGCTTTTACAGTTCAGACATTTGGCCATTAGTGTAATGTCGTGTAGACGTAGTAAATACTTCTAAATATTGCTTATTTCTCTGAAAAATTACTATTTATTACATAAAAGATAAAGGATTTCCATGGATTACCCATCAAGTACGCATCGAAATGGAGGTTGAGTAAACCTCAGACCCACTTGAACTGCGCTGCCCGCAAGTGGCTGAGCTGATAAACCCACAAAATACTGGTAGATAGACTGTCTTGGGTTTGTACCTCGACAACGGACTTCTATGTGGAGTTTTCCGGACTTTCTTCGAGTATCGAACTCCTAAATAAGGATCAGTTTCCTATAGAAAGTCTTCCCGGGAGGCACCCCCTTGGCAGAACGCCCACGTGTTGCGTTGCCGTATACAAACAAACACCGTACTGAATTATACTCTAAAGATTATTGTATTTATTATAAAATTAACCGCTCTTCATTAGAATTTATAAAAGCAATAAAATTAATATAAACCGCGTCATACAGAGTTGTCTTGTATTTCCTAAAGTTATACAGAGACTCGAACACGGACCCAAATGGCGGGAAGCCGACAGTTTATCATATCGCCATCTTATGGAATGAATTACGTTTAAATAATATAAATTTATTAAATTCACGATTAATCGAGAAAATCTCGTATAATTAATAATTTTCAAAATAAAAAATGAATTTTTAACATTTATATATTTGAAAGAGCGATAGTTATCTTCATTTAAAATTTAAAAAAAATATTGCAGTGTTTGAGAGTGTCGTCTGGTGTCGTCATACCGCCATATTTGATTAATGATAAAATATAAAATTAATAATAAAAAATTAAATAATTTCGTTTCATCTAATCGTAGATTATTATTATTAATAATAAATTTTGAAAATTAAAATTAATTCAATATATAATTTACAAAAATATACATATTTGAAAATTGCGAATTACCATCAATTAGAGTGATGGAGAGAAAGAAAAATGGCGGCGGGTTTTAGTTCGGTTTTAAAACTTTCCGACTTGAATGATTTTATCACTCCTTCTCAGGTGACTCTTCTTTATTTCTATTTACTTATTTTTATGATTTTTTTAAAATAAGGCGCAGCGGATACGAGCCGAAAACGAATTATAATTTCTTACTCTATGAATTCGCGGTTGTGTGGTTAAACACTACAAGGTACGCGTTAATTTTTCGTCTCATTCATAGACATCGATATATTTTCTTAAAAAAGAAAAGTGTAATTATTTAAAGACGCTATTTAATATGTACCTGAAATAATGTTGCTTTTATGAATGTAAATAAAAGGTAAGGCCTGGAAAAATTAATGCACTTATATATTTATTTATTTATTGTATGAATGAGAGGGCGCTATTTTTTTAAGCATGTGCTTGTTACCGCTTCGACGTCACACATGTCCACCATTTTTACATTGTTGGAAGTGAATGACTGTATTAGAAGTCCGTACCAATGGCCATATATTCAAAGAATACTCTCTATCATCCAGCAGGAAGGTCTGTCGGTCTCGCACATCTATTGAGAGTGGTACATATCTTCGAGTGCTGTCCAAATCCAGTCTCAACTCGGCTAATTTTCCAACTTTCACTTTGAAACCATTTTTACATTGTTGGAAGTGAATGACTGTATTAGAAGTCCGTACCAATGGCCATATATTCAAAGAATACTCTCTATCATCCAGCAGGAAGGACTGTCGGTCTCGCACATCTATTGAGAGTGGTACATATCTTCGAGTGCTGTCCAAATCCAGTCTCAACTCGGCTAATTTTCCAACTTTCACTTTGAACCCACCTGCAGCTACGCGCTCCAGGTTCTACAAGACAGTTGCCAGCAAGTGGCCGGGCTGGACACTTATCGGGGCAAATGCATCGAAAACCTGCATCCGGGGTGGTAATCCCTTCGCGTCACATCCAGGAAACCTGGATATTTGATCATTTTAGCATCTTTGGCACTGAAGCCCTCGATATCCAGAGAGCTATTCACCTAGGCCACATGCTTCACTGCTTGACAGCCTTAATGTCCAATAGAAGGTCGGCTCTACAAGCGGTGGCTAATGTCAGTTTTGCATCGCCCACAATCGTCATTGACCTGGTGGAATATATCAGTTCAATATACTGCACCCATCATCACGTACACTCCGGGACATGCAGGTATTTCCATAAACGAGGCCACAGACAAAGCTGCACGTCAAAACACGTGGCAGACGCTACTGCTGTCTGACCTCTCGTCTTATGCGGAGCTCGACGATACAAATGTTAATCGACACTTGGTCACACAACCTCTACTACAAATAGTGAGATCATCTTTGCCTCTTCATTATGTGGGTTTACAATCACACTTTGACCCTATGAGCAGAGACACTGCTGGCCCGTTTGAGGACTGAGACAGCCCTGTTGAATAGTTTCCTATACTCTCATCACCTTTGTGATTTGTCGGACTGCCCCCTCTGTGGCGCATCAGAAATGACAATCCACTTTCACTCTAAATTTCACTGTAATACAATCCCTTACGCCAATATATTGGCTGAAAGTCAACAACTCTCCTCAACAGCATATGGCAGTGTTAGAACACTATATGTGTTGCAGTACCCACATCTCATAACCACTAGGCAGTGCTCGTCAGAGAAGAGAGCCTATGTGGCTGTAGTCTCCATATGAACCTAAGCACAGAAAGAAAGAAAGAAAAACTGTATTAAAAATGGCAGTCTAATTGCCTAGTTAATCCTAAATTCACTTGATTAATTAGAATTGTTATAGCTTGAAACTGGTCTAGAAAATTTGTTATTATTATTATTTGTTACAATGGAGAATTGTAAAATGGCTTTAATGTAGCTGGATGAGCAAGCCAATGACATAATCTGTTTTAAATGAAATGGGCTATGTCATTGGCTCGCTAGGCTATTAAAGCCACATCACCAGACAAAATGCTCAATGTCTGTAAAGATTGTTTGATATATTATGTTAATTATTTGATAGTTATGTTAATAACTTAAATACATGTTTATACATGTATTTAAGTTTAAATATAGAACATTTTTAATTTTTAAGTTTAAATAGAACAATTTTTAATTTAAAAGCATTGTAGAATGCTTTTAAATTAAAAATTTATTTGATAAGTCCAAAAAAGGATTCAGATATAAATAAATAAAAAAGATGGATTTAGTTGAACATATATAAGCAACTTCTTACAAGCTTAGGGTTTTGAATACCATCTTCAAGTTGGAACAAGAATTTAAAGAAAACTGTGATCATCAATGTTATGGTCCAAACTTGGATATAGAGCTATTTGGATATTTGGGAGTCGTGGCAACCATTTTTGAATGAGAACAATTGTCTTGTCTTTTCAACATTAAAACAAAGTGAACAGTAACCTGTATTAAGATTGAGGGACATGTTTTATGATTCTGGCAGTACAACATTCGTTGCACTCTGTGAGGAATGTGTGCATGGTGCCTTATGGCAACGGTAATTTGTCTGCATTTGTTAAAGTACAGGGTTGTCCAAAATGAAAACAACCATTTTAAATTACTGTAATTATGTTAATTATTAACCAAGCAATATGTGATGCAAGCCAGTTGATAGAATAACTCGGAATTTCATCTCCATCTGCATTCAAACACATCTACTGCCTCCGGGAAGCAATGTAAACAAAAATGGTGATGCTGCAACAGAGAAGGAGTTCTGTGTTCTCGGTTTGCAAAGTCAAAATCGCACATTATTGTGCAACATGAGTAATCTTCAAGAGCTGTAGAATTTTGGCTACCTTGGGAGGACAGACAGCAGATATGCCATAGCAAGCGTAAGAAGAATTTGAGTATTGGTCACATGTGCCATGTGATACGTGATGCACACATTGAAAAATTGTTATGGTCAAATTAGGCAACCTTGGACAGTTTTCCAATATTTTAATGAACATTACAACATTCTTGGGTAATAATTAACATACTGTAATTACAATTATTTAAAATGGTAGTGTTTGTTTTGGAAGACCTTGTAGTTTGTGTTTGCACTAGTTCTACTGGTTAATAAATTATTTATTAGGTTAAGTTAATTATAAAGGAAATAATTATACAACAATTTTTTAATTTTAGGAATGCATAAAGCCTATAAAAGTAGAAAAAAAAGAAGGTAAAACAGGTTCTATCAAAATTGGAAATGATGGAGACTATTTCAGTGTTTCAGAGGTCAGTACTCATTCATGATACTTCTGTAATTGATAAGTAATGTTTTTAGATGGCTACATTATGAAAATTGATTTTTAATCACCAAACCAGGATGTACTCTTCACACACAAACTTTGTTTGTGTGTGAAGAGTACACTTGATAATGGTGATGACAAGTTTCAAATGTCATATGTTGAGTCTATGGTAGATAAATGGTCAAGGTTTTCTCTTTATGTGTAACAGTGTGGCAATGCCACCAAAAACTGAGTGGATAAAACCACCGAATTCTAGTAGTCAGTTGCAGATTTGTACTTCACCAACACATTGGCCATGTGGAGTTTAATGGGTTTTGTTCATGTATCTAATAAGTAAATAGGGAACACTTTACCATGGAAAGTTCTTCCGGGAGGTGTCCTATCTTGGTAGATCACTCATGTGTTGCATTGCCATTTATAATAGTTTAGAACAGAGGAAATCAAATGCGGTTCCTTGGCTTAGAGCAGCGGTTTCGAACTTTTTAGAGATTATGCCCTTTTTTTTCTTTTTTGTAAAAAATGGAGGCATCTCTCCTATCTCTATAAATCCTCATGATTCACTAGAAGAGTTTAACACCTCCTAAACAGGCATATTCCACAGTCTGAAAGCCATTGACTTAGAGGAAACATTGATGTAGATTGTGGTTTAAACCTGATTCAAATCTTTATAGAATATCATGAGTCTGGGATGAAGAGCATCTGCTTAAACTTTTCCAAGAAGGCAAAGGGATATATTTCCACTATTCTTAAATTTATATTACCCCTGGACTCTTATGGCATAATGCTGGGGTCAGACGAGTACAGTGAGCCCCTACAGCTAAGGGCACATTGTATACTCCACATCAGTATACCTAAAATTACAGATTGAAGTATTCCTAAAGAAGGCATGACTCTGGATCAATTAGTAAATTTGTTCCAACCCCACTCAAGTTCAAATAATTGCCAATTAAGCCAGAATGACAACAGCTCATATAAGATAATTTACCCTACTACTAAGTAGTCCATAATCTGCATAATTGTACCTGCTATATGAGGTCTGACACAATATAAGTTTTATATAAATGATTTGAAGTTAAAGGAAATTAAATAAACTGTTGGATGATATAAGAAATTTAATTATTGGCATAATAATAATAATGAAATTTGTGATTTTAGGATGGAAAAACATCTCGATTAGAAAAAGCAAAAATTTCTCTAACAGACTGTTTGGCATGCAGCGGATGCATAACATCTGCCGAGAGCATCTTAATCACTCAACAGAGCCAAGATGAAATATATCGAGTGCTGGCAGAAAATTCTCAATCTAAGGTATGATTATTTAGCATAAAAATTGTAATTTTTATTGTAAAATGTAAAATGATTATAGATATTGAGATAAAAATCTTGAAAACTCTAAACTTAAACTTTATTCTATTTTGTTTATATTAACAGAGTTGGCTTTCTAATTTATGGGTGATACATGTCTGCCACTATAGTATCTGTATATAGCACTATAATGCTACATTATATAACAAATTCGATATAGCATTGAACAAATGAAGCCCAGTACACTGCTTATATTTTATAGCATGCTATAAGCTAAGTAAGTAAAGTGATAGCACACAATTCTGGACTAGGATATATTTACAGCCTATGTTGTATCCAGTGAATATGCTAACACGCTTTCCTTTTATCTTCTACTTGTATTGTTATAGTTCTGTTGAAAACCAACACTAAGCTGCTCCACATATTTTAAGTGCCATTTGTTCCTTTAAGATTAATCAAGTTATACAAGTTATAGAGGTGATTGGCATCTAGAGAGTTCATTTCTGTGCATTTCTATGGAACAAATACTGGAATTATAAGAATGGTCATCTTGGAGAGATGGAAACTATATCATAAAAGCTCTAATAAAATCCATAAACAGAAACAAATTCCATAAATTTATTCAAATAAAACAATTGGCAGAGCCAATTGATAGTATGAGACATCCTTTGTTGACATTTTTCCTAATAAATCCTCCTTCAAAGAACTTTGAATATTTTATCATTAAAACAAAAATGTTTGAGGATACAAAAGCTTGTAAATTGCAAAGGCACAACACTATAAGTTTTTATTCCTGTTATTAATTTTGCATATGATGGGGTGGCAACAGATGGGACAAAAAATGATACATCTGATACAGCGAATCAGACACACACAGTTCATAACATACATTTATATAATCTTATAAATTAAAATATTTACATTTACATACATGTTTTCATAGGAAAAAATATATAATATGTTCAGAAAAATCAATTAAAAGAACATTTTTTATATTTTCAATGCAAATTATAATTATTTTTTTGCTAGGATAATCAAAAAACAGTGGTTGTTTCTGTGTCGCCCCAAGCCAGAGCTTCTCTTGCAGCGAAATATAATCTCTCGGTGATGGAGACTGCCCAGAAATTAACTGCATTTTTTAAGAAATTAGGTATGTAAATAAATGTATGTTGTTGATTGAATTTGTTTCTATTTCCAGTTTAGTAAAAGTTTTCTTTGTAGAAATGCAATATACAATTTTTCTGAATTGAAGTGTAATTAATGAGCTGCATATATTATATGTAAAATAAGAATGTTTTAGAAAAGTCATAAGATGGAACTTTAAAACTAATAAAAGTATTTTATTAGTTTTTAAAAAGTTATTAATGCAAATTAAATCCCGTATCTGGGTGTATGAACTGGTTGAGTGCAGAAATACAGCAGACACTAGTACAGTAATGGGACAGGTATGTCATAATAAAACAAAGAATTAGTTCATTCTAATCTGTCAGATTGTTCTTGGGCTATATTAAAGTTAATTAAATTAATTAATTAATTGAAATTTGTTCTAAAGCTAGGCTGCCATGTAGCCAATTTGTATAAAGATTAATAGTTAGAAATTAATTTTGGAATAATTAAGCAATTTAGATAAGACCAGCACCTATCTTAAGATCAAGTTTTGAAAATTAGTTGATTATATTAGCCTTAAATAAAGTCCAAATATAATCGATCAGTTTTGACTTATATTACTTGATATTTACGTAGAATTTTTGTATTGTTAAATCATATTTGTTAAGTTTTATTAAATCTAATTCTTAATTAATGAATAACCTTATTAAATACCTTTTAAACTTTTGTAAAAGTCAGTTTTATTTCCGTCAGGTATTCATTATGTTTTTGACACAACATTTTCTCGATGCTTCAGTCTTTTGGAGAACCAAAAAGAATTTGTACACAGGTATCTGGCTAAAGACACGCAAAACGATTCATTACCAATGCTAACATCTGCCTGTCCAGGTATTAAATTATATATTATTTATTCTTAAATGAAATTTAGAACTGTTATGACTTTACATTATTCTTGTAAGGATGGATATGTTATGCTGAGAAGACTCATGGTGACTATATTTTACCTTACATTAGCACCACCAAATCACCGCAGCAAATTATGGGTTCAATAGTTAAAGATTATTTGGGAAGCAAAATTAATAGAAAACCAAATGAAGTAAGTGATAAATTATGAATTATAGAGAAAGAGATTTAAAAAATTTACATATTTATTATTACTGTAAAGGAATTAAGGGGCATAACATGATATATGCAGTGCATAAAAGTTAAATTAATGTTGCCATTAAAGAACAGAGTATTATGAATTAATTAATCATCATCCATGCCGAGCAGCCTTTTGTAGAAGTAAGCCAGGCAATGCTTATTTGTAAAGAACATAATTAACACTTGTAGTATGTAAGAACCAACTCTTTCATTAGCAAAGGAAGAGCTGGCATTCTACAATCCTTGTCTGTTATGTACCAAAGTGTATGAACATCACATTTAGAATCAAATTAAATATATCACTTGCTGAATTTTATCATGTTTTATGATTCAGGTATGTGCCACTTAACAGCTGAGATATGTTCAAAAAATACATCATTAAGCAAACTTCATAGAATGTACTTTGACAAGCCTTGTATGGTATGATCTGCTACTCATATAGGCTGTACACAGGGTGCATAGTAAAGTCCTTGTATGCTAACATAAATGACATATGACACACAGTAACGAATGCAACGCAAAGACATAAGTAAAGAGAAATACACATTTTATTGTTTGTGCTTCACAGTTTATCCTTTCTATTCATTCTTAGACATGGTGTGCCATTTTATACTAAGTTCGTCATATTCTATGACTTTGCAATTTACTTTTTCTCATGTTCTCATGTCATGCATTGTTTTTGAGATAGGAATGTTAATTTCTGAATTTTACTATTGGGGATGCCACAAATAGTCTCATCTCATATTGCATATGTGAGATCCGAAAGGCCCCTGGGTCTAAATTAATATTTTATTATTTATGTTAAAANACAAACTTGCCCAATATTTATGTACTGAAGGTACTGTTGAATAGCAAGATATATATTGAGACCTTCATTAAATTTTTATAATGTAAAAATATCCCCTGTTCTACATTAATTGCTCAATATTACCTTATATAAATTGTAAACCTTAACCCTGAATACTGTGTATATATATATATATATATATTCCACGCCATTTAGTTTATATGGATTTCTGTGCTATTATTGGATCATGTAACCGTATTTTGTTTTATTTAGTATGTTGAGACATTGCAAGCGCCCATGGAACACATGGTCACTTCCTTCCTCTCTTTTATCTATCTAACTTCCTCTTGCTGCTTATCACCTTACCTTCGAACCTTCTTTTCGTTTCCTATCTAAACGAGCTTAGTCAATTAGCTAAACGACTGACAGCTCTCTCACCCTCTTTTACAAATGTAAAAATATCTTTAAAAAATTATTTTGTATATATAAAAGTAATGATTTAGAAATATAATTTATTTTAAAAGTATATGATAAATGATGTACTTATTATGTTGTTCATATATTTCTTGTTTTAAACATGATTCAGTGTTTTTCAATACTTCATGTCTATCTTTGACAATTCCTGTAATCTTATATGAAGGTTATCACAAAATCTGTATCTTTTTCATAGGAACTTTTATCGGTTCCTTTGATATATTGCCAAATTTTTCTGTATAGTTGACATTAATTAATGTGGTCTAGTGTCCAATAATAATATTGAAATCATATCAAATTAGAAAATTAATAAAACCAATAATTTAGTTATTCTAATTTACAAACTTACTAAATATCAGGCAGACAAAAAAATATATATATACAGTAGAGCGTCGATTTTCCGAATCAATTGGGGACTGGGGTTGTCCGGATAACTGATATTTTGGATAACTGATTTACGTACGATAAAATAGTTTAATGTATTCGATGTCAAAATTTTTCTCCATTGCGTGTCGCTTCGCGTTGAATTTTCGTCGATGTTAAGTCTAGCAAAGACTATTGTATCGTTAAAAATTATTTTTTTATTTTGTACAAACAAAATAAATATATTGAAAAATATAAAAACAATAAAAAATTATACTTCAGATGTTAATTTAGTATCAAAAACGTAAAATGTTTGAGTAGCCCAAGACATAGCCAAAGATTGAAGCGCCACATCACTGGCGAAAATTTAAATTTGCCAACTGGAATTCTTTCGGATGATTGACTTTCGGAAAATCGACGCTCTACTGTATTTATTGTTTGGTCATTACAATGTAGTCATCCAGCAGGGAGCTATTCAATGATTACCAAAATCTAAATAGATTTAGATCATGTCCATTTTATAAGAATATCTAACTTTTTTAAGAAAAAAGGACTGATTTGTTACCACCAGATTTGTTTAAAATGTTATATCAAAAAATGCTAACTAATTCTAGTGAGCATAATTGGGTTGGCCAAGTTTCTTATATTTTGGATATGGATTTTCTACAGAGTTGTTTGAGTTTGATGAAAATATGAGCTCCCAATTAATCCAGACCTCATGGATTTCAACATTATATAGCCATTTGGTTGCTGTAATTGAGTGATTTATGGCAACTTTAGGAATGCTTTCTTTTTAGTATAATTTTCCTTTGAATTATCCTTTTAGTATAATTATCCTTTAGTATAATTATCCTTAGTATAATTATCCTTTTGATCAGTGTTTTTCATGATCATTCTATGATTGTTTTAGTTATAATTATACTTTTGGTTATTTAATTTGTTTCAGGAAGTTTAAATAATACTTTTTTAAATTGTATGAGGGTGAATCAAAAAGTAAGTTGCATACCAAGTTGCAGTTTGTACCAAAAATAAATGTGAAACGTACAAGTCAAAAATTTTTATTTGTGTGCATGTACTGTACAATCTAAGCACTGCTTTTCAACATAATCACCAAGGACAATAGGGTATTACAGTGATATTGAAGTTGTGTATTATATTTTAGATTATCTGCAGGTCATTAACTATTTATTTCTTAATTTACCATTTAAAGTTAACTGTATGAAATTTTTTAAAGATTAAATAGGGATTTTATTGTAATAAGACTATGATCTATCTAATAGTAATTTTAAGACATTTTGTATAATATTCAAAACTTTGCAAATAGTCTTATTTTTCTCTCTAGTAATGTATGAGAGATTTTTGTACTAACACTGCTAAAACTATTAAGTGTCACAAATTTTATTTCTCCCATGTAATATGATATTAATCCTTATACAATAAAGTTTATTGACTGATTATTATTATTTTTGCTAGTATTAAGTTTTAAATAGGAAAATTTAAAAGACATTTGTAATATATTGTATAATATTTAAATTTATATTCCATACTTTATAATTTCACAAAAAGTTCTTTTATCTGAGATAATTTTTCCTCATTTTTCTCATCACATCTGGATTCTTCCTCCTTGTTATTACATTTATACAAATGAAGTAGACAAGATACAAATATTTACTATAATATTGAAAATTTCCTGAATATATTCTGAAGGTGCTGTGGGGTGGCAAAATAGTTGTTTATATCAAGGGTTATATTCTAAATAGCCTGTTAAGGAAATTTATAGTGTAAAAATGAAAAGTAACAACTTTTTGTATATATAAATTTTTTTATTCTTTCAAATATTTCTCTTTTTCTTCTAATTCAAGCATCATTTACTCAATATTTTTCATGACATGATGCCTGTCTTTTTTTGCTAAGATCTTGTAGTCTTTTACAGGAGTAGTCAATTCTATCTTTTTCTCCTGTTTTGTTTAGAAGTTTGGATGCTTCAGTAAAAGTTTTTAGTGCAACATCCAACATGTCCTCACTTTCTTTGTATGTTTTTTTGTTTTTCTTACAGGTGCTTTCAGGCTGGACCAAACTAATGTTAAATCACTACTCACTGCTAATTCCGAACTGCTGACCAATTGCAGTCTATATTGTTTTCTTCAGTGTAGTATCTTTAAAGTCTGTACATTTTTTATCATACAGACACGGATGTCTTTGTACAGTTTCTATAAAGTACTCGTTATCGAACATAGCACACTATCTGCTTATACTGACCCCCATAGTTTGAATTCCCATGTGATCTTTATGACGACATTGCTAAACGGCCTTCCTATTGGTCTAATTTTTACCATTTTGCTTTCCACAAAAGCAAAATAAAATTTTCAACTTCATATTTGACGGCAAAAGTGACGTCATTTTTCCATTCTGTCATTCATTTCCGCATGTGAGTACCAGGCTTAAATTAAAGATGGATGATGATGACAATCCTCTTAGCATCCTATTTCTATTTGTGAAAAATTGAACATCTAAATTGTACTTGACCACAAAATTTAGACCTTCAGTTTTTAGGTCATGCATGTGCAGTACCAAAAGCATTTAAACTGCTTAGTGAAATTACTCATGGATATTCAGCTTAAGAGTTCCTCTTTAATTAATCTCTATATGAGGGCTCATCCAGACCTTTAGTGAAGAATGGAACCTGACATGTCTGCATTTAATAAATGATGGAACTTTCTACAGTTTAAATCTGAACTAAAGTCTGGGTCTTCCAGAGTAGCAGGATGATGCTATAATTGCTTTGGCCAACCATAATCTGTTTTATTGTATTTTTCTTCTTCTCATATCCAATTGTATTGTTACCTACTAGTTAATGTAATGTATATATATTATTTTTTTTTTATTCATTTATAATTTAGTTTTTATATTTTACAGGCATTCAATAATCTTAAAGAAATGGGCTTTTCGGAAGAAGAAATATTAGACGCTCTCAGAATACACAGTAATAATCAAGAAGCTGCGGTAAAATATTTCTTATATGGCAATTCTATGAGTTAAATTTATTTAATTCCAATTAAATTCAAAGGTTATTGTTTTAGTTATAGTTAAATTAATCCAAAAGTAGAAATAATATTAATTAAAGGACACTATTTAAACATGAAATCACAATAGGGATATTCATAATGGGAGCTTTTCGTGCTTTTAAAAAATCTGAGAATTGGGGGATCTAAAACTTTTTGGTACTGTCAACTATAAACATTCAATTATCATTTTATCTTCATTGGGCATTTTATTGATTGACATTATCTTCTGTTGGTGAATTTTGATAATTGGCAAATGTTGCTTTTGCCATAGAACCCATAGTAATGAAGTGGAGCTCCAAGAGAAGCAATACTTTTGTGATTTATGACTTTTAAATGAGCTCAAAAGCCAGTGTATTGAGAAAGACTGCAGTCTGTGAATATTCGTAATGTGGTTATTTAATTAATGCATGATTTGTGTATTCCTAGTTATATTCCTAAAACACGTACATAAGATTTGTGCATAATAGGGAAAATATTTACCACAAATACAGAGCAATTGCCAGTATAACAATTTTTCAGCTTGTAAATTAAAATTAGGAGAATTTTTCTTTATAATCATATGAAAATAAAATCAAATGAAATTTTCTGTAATGTGTGAAAATGAATTAGTTTTGTCAATTTCTTGTAAGGAAATATTTATAAAGTATAGTTATAAAAAGAAGAAATAACATGGCAACATCATTTACAACATGATTCTTTCAATATCTTGAATTAGTAATTACAGTACATTTTACAAATATTTGCCAGTCTGCCATGATATGCATTAGTGAGAATAAGTTTGTTTTAGTATGTGAGGGGGCAGATTATGTGAATTTAACTGGATTCAAAGTGCATTTCAGATAGCCAGTTTATACACTTCCGTACTTCTTCAAATACTTCAATCTCATTTGTGAAATGGAAATTTTTGGTCCAGATTTGTGAAGAGATTTGTAATTCAGTAAGCATTTCTTAGTCATACATTTTCATAAAGCAAGTTATTTTGAACTTTACATGTATTATAAAATTTATTTATCACAATTACTTTTATCTATAAAATTGCATGATTTCAAAATTATATAAATATGATCTCACAAATCATAACTATTGTATTAATATATAGAAAATTCTAACAAAATACACAAAATTTTGTAAAGTTTTACATTTTTTTGTGCTCCTTGAATATCAAATGGTGAAGAAACTGAGAGGGTTAAAATTTGACCAATACTATCCACTATACTTGCCTAAAATTGTAGTCTGGTGTGGATTTGCAGTCTCATTCATCCTTGAACTATTCTTTTCTGAAGTAGTAGTCCCTGTGAGCCTGTAACATGCTCTCTGATGATCGAAGATACCAAGAGATGCTCAAAACTTTTGTCAAACCAAACTGCATTAGTGACAATGTCTTGAGACAACCACTCTCATGCAAGATGGAGCATCTCCACATATTGGATGCTTCATACAGTGTTTTCTACCATATTTCACCAATAACAGAGTGATTAGTCACCACCTGACCATCAAGTTGTTTGATCTTAATCTACACAATTGTGTGGAACACTTAAAAAGTGTGGTCTGTTGAGGACACACTGCATATTTTGTAGTCTTGAAAGATCATATCATACTGCATGCAAAAATCATCACCAAGAATCGATTATAGTTATGCACCAAACATTGCTTTCAGAATGGGGACCACTTTGAACAGTATTTCCTGCACTGCTAAGGTCTGCATAGCATGTCTTCTACAAATGTTTGCTGCTTGCTGTGCCAAAAATGCCATGTTGGCAACTTTACATACTAATTTCTCTTATCGAAATATCTTTCTAGACAGCATTAAATAGGGTACTTTAATTACAATTACATAGTATCTAGGATGAGTTTGCAACATTTATTTAATTAATTTATATGGATCAGAAATATAAACAAATACATAAAGTAAAGTAATAAATTATTTAATACTTTAAAAGAAGAATTTGTTCTTTATATACACAATACACTATTAATTATATTTTTGTATATTTAAATGTAGTGCGAATGGTTGCTCAACGATCGTAAATCCGACAATGAAGATCTGGACATTGGGTTAGATCCCGAAGGATCGATATATAAAGCCATCATGGCTAATGCTATTGTTCAGCTGGGATTAAACAGCCTTAAAACTTTATTTGGTAATTTTATTCAATTTTTAAGACTAAACGATTTGTTGGATCTACATTGGACAAGATTATGGCTGTTTAATAATCCTGAAACCAAATTTTACCTACCTCTAATCAAATTGCTTTGTTTCGGATTATTAAATAGACTTAACCTAGCCCAATAAAAATCCAGCAGATGTGAACAATTGTTCATCATTGACAAATTCTTTTTTAAATTTATAATCAAAACACCAATAATTATCTTTCTTACATTTTAAATTTATATAAACTACAGTTCAAAGAGTATTTTTCAAATATATTTTAGAATAATAATTAAAAATATATATATATATAATTTTGTTAATATCAACCAAATTTTCCATTATTCTTAATGAATAAAGATTATTTTCAAATTAACTTAGTTTCATAACATAAATTTAATCTTGTAAATGTTCAGATAAATGATTGGAAGAATAAATTTCAAAGTTATGAAGCTATAATTTTGTAATTTTAATTAAAGCTAATTATTATCTTAATTTTTTTAGCACTGCTGCAGATGCTGGAGAATTTCAACAGCGCGGGTCGTTGGTTGAACGATTCCGACATTGCACCACTCCTCAGTCAGATTTTTCGCATATATCACGCAGAGAAGCATTCCCTTCAGATGATGAGGCCATTTTCTCATTGACGATAAGCTTTTTATTAAGAAAAAGAAATTTCCACATGTTGCTTTTTTGCGCAAAACACACACAAAAATTTTCTGCGTGGCATAAAATTTAAATATTATTTCATCGTGTTAATTTTATTTTATGTTTTTTGTTTATAAAATTATCTTGTACATAAACTTCTGTATTATATGAGAGTGGAAGCTTCATTATTTGCAGAGAATTTAATTATTTCTGAGTTCTCAAATGCCACTCGGAAAGAGCAGTCGTTTATTTGTAAGTTATACTTTCTGTTGATGTTAAATAAAAAACAGATTCTTTAGGAATATTGGTTGTGTTGATTAGTATGATAGTGGGTACGTTCCGTTATGTATTAGACAACACGTCGGTGAACCATGATGTACTAAAATGTGTCCTGATATTCACTAATCTGCATGTAGGATCATTGCACATTGCATTCATCGGACTGTGGGTAGGGCAAACAAGGATGAAGCAACATATTTTTTATGGATGGGCCATCTCACATGTCAGTCTCTGGTCTATTACCATCCAGTCAGCTCATTGTAGATCTAACAAATCCATAATAAATATGAGAAAAGGGTTCTCTCAGTGCCCACATTAAAAAAAAACCAATAAAAATAAGAATCACCTTAAAGTGTGACAAGAAGGCATTTGGGTTCGAATGGTACAGTCATTTCCTATTCGCAAGCAGCCAGAAAAATGGGTGAAGTGGCCAACTCCACACCAATGCTGACTTTATTCTGGAGAGGTCACTCTTCAGGCACCCATTGCAAAGGAGTTGAACAGATCTTACCCCTGTATAGACCATAACATGCAGAAACCAGTTGCCATAGATTTGATCACAGCTTTACTATTAGACCACTACAGACTGTATATAAATGTAATAATAAAAATTCAGCAAAGTAAAATTGTATACAAGAATAATATCAATTATTAGTAGACTTTTAGTAAAAAATAAAAATAAGCATGGTAAAATGTCATACAGAGCCAACCCCAAATTAGTTTCATTTATGGAATGTGATAGCCATAATGGTCTTTTTAAAAACACTTTAGAAAGGCTCTCTAAGTGTGTATAAAAATATATTCATTGCAGAGTTTGCAGGCGTGCAAACTCTGCAATGATTCTTGATGAATCACACATCTCAGATGTAGTTTCAGGAAAGATTGCCTATGAAATATTTACTCAGGTTTCTCACCTAGATTTGACCCCAGATCACCACCGAATGGCAGGCTGATGGCTTTTACAGTTCAGACATTTGGCCATTAGTGTAATGTCGTGTAGACGTAGTAAATACTTCTAAATATTGCTTATTTCTCTGAAAAATTACTATTTATTACATAAAAGATAAAGGATTTCCATGGATTACCCATCAAGTACGCATCGAAATGGAGGTTGAGTAAACCTCAGACCCACTTGAACTGTGCTGCCCGCAAGTGGTTGAGCTGATAAACCCACAAAATACTGGTAGATAGACTGTCTTGGGTTTGTACCTCGACAACGGACTTCTATGTGGAGTTTTCCGGACTTTCTTCGAGTATCGAACTCCTAAATAAGGATCAGTTTCCTATAGAAAGTCTTCCCGGGAGGCACCCCCTTGGCAGAACGCCCACGTGTTGCGTTGCCGTATACAAACAAACACCGTACTGAATTATACTCTAAAGATTATTGTATTTATTATAAAATTAACCGCTCTTCATTAGAATTTATAAAAGCAATAAAATTAATATAAACCGCGTCATACAGAGTTGTCTTGTATTTCCTAAAGTTATACAGAGACTCGAACACGGACCCAAATGGCGGGAAGCCGACAGTTTATCATATCGCCATCTTATGGAATGAATTACGTTTAAATAATATAAATTTATTAAATTCACGATTAATCGAGAAAATCTCGTATAATTAATAATTTTCAAAATAAAAAATGAATTTTTAACATTTATATATTTGAAAGAGCGATAGTTATCTTCATTTAAAATTTAAAAAAAATATTGCAGTGTTTGAGAGTGTCGTCTGGTGTCGTCATACCGCCATATTTGATTAATGATAAAATATAAAATTAATAATAAAAAATTAAATAATTTCGTTTCATCTAATCGTAGATTATTATTATTAATAATAAATTTTGAAAATTAAAATTAATTCAATATATAATTTACAAAAATATACATATTTGAAAATTGCGAATTACCATCAATTAGAGTGATGGAGAGAAAGAAAAATGGCGGCGGGTTTTAGTTCGGTTTTAAAACTTTCCGACTTGAATGATTTTATCACTCCTTCTCAGGTGACTCTTCTTTATTTCTATTTACTTATTTTTATGATTTTTTTAAAATAAGGCGCAGCGGATACGAGCCGAAAACGAATTATAATTTCTTACTCTATGAATTCGCGGTTGTGTGGTTAAACACTACAAGGTACGCGTTAATTTTTCGTCTCATTCATAGACATCGATATATTTTCTTAAAAAAGAAAAGTGTAATTATTTAAAGACGCTATTTAATATGTACCTGAAATAATGTTGCTTTTATGAATGTAAATAAAAGGTAAGGCCTGGAAAAATTAATGCACTTATATATTTATTTATTTATTGTATGACTGAGAGGGCGCTATTTTTTTAAGCATGTGCTTGTTACCGCTTCGACGTCACACATGTCCACCATTTTTACATTGTTGGAAGTGAATGACTGTATTAGAAGTCCGTACCAATGGCCATATATTCAAAGAATACTCTCTATCATCCAGCAGGAAGGACTGTCGGTCTCGCACATCTATTGAGAGTGGTACATATCTTCGAGTGCTGTCCAAATCCAGTCTCAACTCGGCTAATTTTCCAACTTTCACTTTGAACCCACCTGCAGCTACGCGCTCCAGGTTCTACAAGACAGTTGCCAGCAAGTGGCCGGGCTGGACACTTATCGGGGCAAATGCATCGAAAACCTGCATCCGGGGTGGTAATCCCTTCGCGTCACATCCAGGAAACCTGGATATTTGATCATTTTAGCATCTTTGGCACTGAAGCCCTCGATATCCAGAGAGCTATTCACCTAGGCCACATGCTTCACTGCTTGACAGCCTTAATGTCCAATAGAAGGTCGGCTCTACAAGCGGTGGCTAATGTCAGTTTTGCATCACCCACAATCATCATTGACCTGGTGGAATATATCAGTTCAATATACTGCACCCATCATCACGTACACTCCGGGACATGCAGGTATTTCCATAAACGAGGCCACAGACAAAGCTGCACGTCAAAACACGTGGCAGACGCTACTGCTGTCTGACCTCTCGTCTTATGCGGAGCTCGACGATACAAATGTTAATCGACACTTGGTCACACAACCTCTACTACAAATAGTGAGATCATCTTTGCCTCTTCATTATGTGGGTTTACAATCACACTTTGACCCTATGAGCAGAGACACTGCTGGCCCGTTTGAGGACTGAGACAGCCCTGTTGAATAGTTTCCTATACTCTCATCACCTTTGTGATTTGTCGGACTGCCCCCTCTGTGGCGCATCAGAAATGACAATCCACTTTCACTCTAAATTTCACTGTAATACAATCCCTTACGCCAATATATTGGCTGAAAGTCAACAACTCTCCTCAACAGCATATGGCAGTGTTAGAACACTATATGTGTTGCAGTACCCACATCTCATAACCACTAGGCAGTGCTCGTCAGAGAAGAGAGCCTATGTGGCTGTAGTCTCCATATGAACCTAAGCACAGAAAGAAAGAAAGAAAAACTGTATTAAAAATGGCAGTCTAATTGCCTAGTTAATCCTAAATTCACTTGATTAATTAGAATTGTTATAGCTTGAAACTGGTCTAGAAAATTTGTTATTATTATTATTTGTTACAATGGAGAATTGTAAAATGGCTTTAATGTAGCTGGATGAGCAAGCCAATGACATAATCTGTTTTAAATGAAATGGGCTATGTCATTGGCTCGCTAGGCTATTAAAGCCACATCACCAGACAAAATGCTCAATGTCTGTAAAGATTGTTTGATATATTATGTTAATTATTTGATAGTTATGTTAATAACTTAAATACATGTTTATACATGTATTTAAGTTTAAATATAGAACATTTTTAATTTTTAAGTTTAAATAGAACAATTTTTAATTTAAAAGCATTGTAGAATGCTTTTAAATTAAAAATTTATTTGATAAGTCCAAAAAAGGATTCAGATATAAATAAATAAAAAAGATGGATTTAGTTGAACATATATAAGCAACTTCTTACAAGCTTAGGGTTTTGAATACCATCTTCAAGTTGGAACAAGAATTTAAAGAAAACTGTGATCATCAATGTTATGGTCCAAACTTGGATATAGAGCTATTTGGATATTTGGGAGTCGTGGCAACCATTTTTGAATGAGAACAATTGTCTTGTCTTTTCAACATTAAAACAAAGTGAACAGTAACCTGTAATAAGATTGAGGGACATGTTTTATGATTCTGGCAGTACAACATTCGTTGCACTCTGTGAGGAATGTGTGCATGGTGCCTTATGGCAACGGTAATTTGTCTGCATTTTTTAAAGTACAGGGTTGTCCAAAATGAAAACAACCATTTTAAATTACTGTAATTATGTTAATTATTAACCAAGCAATATGTGATGCAAGCCAGTTGATAGAATAACTCGGAATTTCATCTCCATCTGCATTCAAACACATCTACTGCCTCCGGGAAGCAATGTAAACAAAAATGGTGATGCTGCAACAGAGAAGGAGTTCTGTGTTCTCGGTTTGCAAAGTCAAAATCGCACATTATTGTGCAACATGAGTAATCTTCAAGAGCTGTAGAATTTTGGCTACCTTGGGAGGACAGACAGCAGATATGCCATAGCAAGCGTAAGAAGAATTTGAGTATTGGTCACATGTGCCATGTGATACGTGATGCACACATTGAAAAATTGTTATGGTCAAATTAGGCAACCTTGGACAGTTTTCCAATATTTTAATGAACATTACAACATTCTTGGGTAATAATTAACATACTGTAATTACAATTATTTAAAATGGTAGTGTTTGTTTTGGAAGACCTTGTAGTTTGTGTTTGCACTAGTTCTACTGGTTAATAAATTATTTATTAGGTTAAGTTAATTATAAAGGAAATAATTATACAACAATTTTTTAATTTTAGGAATGCATAAAGCCTATAAAAGTAGAAAAAAAAGAAGGTAAAACAGGTTCTATCAAAATTGGAAATGATGGAGACTATTTCAGTGTTTCAGAGGTCAGTACTCATTCATGATACTTCTGTAATTGATAAGTAATGTTTTTAGATGGCTACATTATGAAAATTGATTTTTAATCACCAAACCAGGATGTACTCTTCACACACAAACTTTGTTTGTGTGTGAAGAGTACACTTGATAATGGTGATGACAAGTTTCAAATGTCATATGTTGAGTCTATGGTAGATAAATGGTCAAGGTTTTCTCTTTATGTGTAACAGTGTGGCAATGCCACCAAAAACTGAGTGGATAAAACCACCGAATTCTAGTAGTCAGTTGCAGATTTGTACTTCACCAACACATTGGCCATGTGGAGTTTAATGGGTTTTGTTCATGTATCTAATAAGTAAATAGGGAACACTTTACCATGGAAAGTTCTTCCGGGAGGTGTCCTATCTTGGTAGATCACTCATGTGTTGCATTGCCATTTATAATAGTTTAGAACAGAGGAAATCAAATGCGGTTCCTTGGCTTAGAGCAGCGGTTTCGAACTTTTTAGAGATTATGCCCTTTTTTTTCTTTTTTGTAAAAAATGGAGGCATCTCTCCTATCTCTATAAATCCTCATGATTCACTAGAAGAGTTTAACACCTCCTAAACAGGCATATTCCACAGTCTGAAAGCCATTGACTTAGAGGAAACATTGATGTAGATTGTGGTTTAAACCTGATTCAAATCTTTATAGAATATCATGAGTCTGGGATGAAGAGCATCTGCTTAAACTTTTCCAAGAAGGCAAAGGGATATATTTCCACTATTCTTAAATTTATATTACCCCTGGACTCTTATGGCATAATGCTGGGGTCAGACGAGTACAGTGAGCCCCTACAGCTAAGGGCACATTGTATACTCCACATCAGTATACCTAAAATTACAGATTGAAGTATTCCTAAAGAAGGCATGACTCTGGATCAATTAGTAAATTTGTTCCAACCCCACTCAAGTTCAAATAATTGCCAATTAAGCCAGAATGACAACAGCTCATATAAGATAATTTACCCTACTACTAAGTAGTCCATAATCTGCATAATTGTACCTGCTATATGAGGTCTGACACAATATAAGTTTTATATAAATGATTTGAAGTTAAAGGAAATTAAATAAACTGTTGGATGATATAAGAAATTTAATTATTGGCATAATAATAATAATGAAATTTGTGATTTTAGGATGGAAAAACATCTCGATTAGAAAAAGCAAAAATTTCTCTAACAGACTGTTTGGCATGCAGCGGATGCATAACATCTGCCGAGAGCATCTTAATCACTCAACAGAGCCAAGATGAAATATATCGAGTGCTGGCAGAAAATTCTCAATCTAAGGTATGATTATTTAGCATAAAAATTGTAATTTTTATTGTAAAATGTAAAATGATTATAGATATTGAGATAAAAATCTTGAAAACTCTAAACTTAAACTTTATTCTATTTTGTTTATATTAACAGAGTTGGCTTTCTAATTTATGGGTGATACATGTCTGCCACTATAGTATCTGTATATAGCACTATAATGCTACATTATATAACAAATTCGATATAGCATTGAACAAATGAAGCCCAGTACACTGCTTATATTTTATAGCATGCTATAAGCTAAGTAAGTAAAGTGATAGCACACAATTCTGGACTAGGATATATTTACAGCCTATGTTGTATCCAGTGAATATGCTAACACGCTTTCCTTTTATCTTCTACTTGTATTGTTATAGTTCTGTTGAAAACCAACACTAAGCTGCTCCACATATTTTAAGTGCCATTTGTTCCTTTAAGATTAATCAAGTTATACAAGTTATAGAGGTGATTGGCATCTAGAGAGTTCATTTCTGTGCATTTCTATGGAACAAATACTGGAATTATAAGAATGGTCATCTTGGAGAGATGGAAACTATATCATAAAAGCTCTAATAAAATCCATAAACAGAAACAAATTCCATAAATTTATTCAAATAAAACAATTGGCAGAGCCAATTGATAGTATGAGACATCCTTTGTTGACATTTTTCCTAATAAATCCTCCTTCAAAGAACTTTGAATATTTTATCATTAAAACAAAAATGTTTGAGGATACAAAAGCTTGTAAATTGCAAAGGCACAACACTATAAGTTTTTATTCCTGTTATTAATTTTGCATATGATGGGGTGGCA